CGCTCGAGCCCTGCCCCGCGCGCCTCCTGCCGGGCTCGTGGATGGGCGGCGCCGGCGCGGCCGGCTACCGCGCGGGCGGCGCGCTGCCGCTCACGTCGGAAGCCCAGCGGGTTATCTTCGACAATCAGCACCCGACCGACTGCTCGGCTGCCAAGTACCTCGTTTTCGGAAACCCCACATCAGGCCTGGGATCCATCCTACACCAGCTGACAGTGGGGCTAGCCCTGGCGGTTGATTCAGGCCGCGTTTTCATCGAGGCCAACGGCTCCGGCTGGGCGGACGGCGTCTACTGCAAAAACTCCCCCCGCAGCATCACCGGCTGCTACATGGAGCCCGCGGCCGGCTGCGCGCCGAGCGCGGCGCAGCTCGCCGCCGCAGTCGCCGTCGCGCCGGGCGGGCCTCAGATGGCGGCGGCGAGTGGCCCCACAGTCGTGAGGCTCGACATGTCATCATCGTTCGCGAAGCGGACCCTGGTGCCTAAGCAGCTGCTATCAAAGCTGAAGGATCTGCCTATATTAGAGAAGCACCGCCACTACTGGTGGCGCGCCCAGGGGATCGCCTACCTCGTCCGCCCGAGCCAGCGCACGCTCGCGGCGCTCGCGCAGCGCGAGCGTTCACTGCTGCGCGGCCGCCCGCCGGCGCCGGGGTGCGTTAGCCTGTACGTGCGGCGCGGGGACAAGGCGATCGAGGCCCCTGTCTTCAGCGATGAGGAGTATGCAAACCTCACGCGCCGCTTGGTGGAGGAAGACCCGTCCCTTCGGCGGCAGGTGGGCGGGTTTCGGTGATCTGAGCGGCGGCCCGGGAAGGCGGCGGCGGGCGCCCGACGGCCCGCAGCTGTGATAAGAGGGGGAGGGGGCGGCCGCGTGCGGGGCTGGCCCAACCAGCGCCCTTGCAGCTTCCCGTGCAAGCAGCGCTCGCGCCCTCAGCCCACACTGTGTCAAGCTTAAGCACGCCCCTCCTCCTGCTCCTCTCCGCCCTCGCCCCCGCCGCGGCCCTGCCGTCCAGGTCTTTCTGTCAACAGAGGACGCGGGCACCATCAAGTACTTCACGACCCAGTTCGGCTCCCTAACCCCACCCGCCGGCCCCGGCGGCTGGGAGGTGTCGCACCTCGACATCCCCACCTGGCGCAACATGCAGGCGCTGCTCGCGCAGAGCTTCCGGGACGGCAGCGCCGACACCGCGCCGGCGCTCAACAGCCTGCTGGCGCTCGACCTCGCGGCGCGGTGCGACGGGTACGTGGCTTCGATATACTCGAACTGGGCGCGGCTGATCGACGAGCTGCGGTCGACGGTGCGGTGCAAGGGGGGGGCGGCGTACCTGGATCTGCACTATAATGGGGAGGACGCCGAAAAAATCGACTTCAACTGGCGGTAGCGCGGGAACCCGCATTTGTTGTTTGTGACACCTCGCTGCGGCGCATGACGTATTACATTGTGATGTGATGTGATGGAACCGCGCGGTCAGCTCAGTTGCGGATAGCCGCAACCCTCTGTGGTGCGCGGGCGCGCGGCCGGCGCCACAATGCGCCGCACCGCGCCGGCAGCAGCGTCGAGGCGGGGCGCCTCAAGACGTGTGTCGCTGCGGCCGCTAGCCCCCCCCTCCGCCCCACCACTCGTCGTGTGCTGCTCGTGGCCCGCCCCGCGTGTGTGCGGCCCATTCTTCCTCTTCCTTTTGAGATCCTGCTCGGATTGCACTGATGACATCACACACCCCAACGACACGGACGACATGGACTACTCAACTCTGCCCAGCAGCCAGCCAGCCGTTTTTTTCGCGGCTTGCACCAACCTCCGAGCCCATCGAGCTGATTGCTTTTAATTAGAGGGCCCTGCATGCAAGGTTGTAGAGACTGTAAGTAATCATATTACCTGCAGCGGGCCACTGAGGCTAAACCACGCGGCTGTCTGGCCTTGTCCACATCATGCATTTGGAAAGGTGGGGTCGCCCAAGTTGCCAAAACAGCGGAGGCGCAGACAGAGGCCAGGGGTTGGGAAGCAGCAGTGCCAGATCGAAAGAATGCCGAAACGAACATCAGCAGCGGTGGCAGCAGCAGCAGCAGCAGCAGCAGCAGCAGCTGCTGCGGAGGGAGCCGCAGCGGCAGCAAGGTTCGAGGCAGTTGCATGCGATAACGGCAGCCGGCTGCGCCGGCGCGCCAGCTGCATAAACACAGTGCAGAGACCCGCACGAAACAACGCAAGCAAATCGCGCCCCCCAACCGCCCCGCGCCCACGCTTGACAGGGTGAGCGCGCGCAAAGGCCGGAGCGCGTTGTGGCAGCACACCCGCGCGCAACAGGCAATGCGCCTTTGCGGCGGGCGCGGCCCCGGCTTCCCAGGCTCGTTTTGGAAATGCGGCCCGCCGCGCCGGCAGCGAGGCGGGGCTGCTGGGTATGGCACCCATCAGAGGCAAACCAACAGCAATCAGACATGATCAGGCACACCAATTATGATCATACGCACCACAAACGGCGGAGTGCGGCGCCAGCCGCGGGGCCGGGCGCATCAACAGAGCACGAGAGCCGCGCGTGGGGGCGAGGCGGCGGGCGGGGCCTGCCCGGCTCGGGTTCGGTCCCAGCCAAACCACGGCCCAACCTGCTCCCCCCCGTCAAGCTGCGCGGGACGCCTGCACAGACCACATGCGAAAGGAGGAGCAGCAAGCTTGCGAGCACCCCAGCCCGCGGCGGCGCCGCGTTGTTTCATAGTTTTGCTGCTTGGCCCAGCGAGGAGCCCCGCCGCCCTAAAGCCCGAACGGCGTGGACGCGAGGAACCGGTGCCGCAGCGCGCCGGCCGCGCTGGGGCGGCCGCGGTTGAGGGCGTTGCGCTTGGCGAGCAGCTTGGCGGCCAGGTCCCAGCCGGCGCCCTTCTGACGGTCGAGCAGGGTGAAGTCCATGCTGCGGCCGGGGCCGCGGCGCCAGGCCTTGAATCGGGGGCATGGGTGGGGGTTGGGATGGGTCAGAGGTGCGGATGGGTCCGGGGTCGGGATGGGTCCATGTGAGTGTTGAAGGGGGGGGGTGTACACAGCGGTCCACGTCCGTCACCCCTCCCGATTAGGTCACGCCGCGGTGACGTCACGCACCCATCACGATCCCCTGCGCCGCCCCACCCCCGCCCCCCAACATGACACATGACAGCCGAATAAAGTGATGTCATACCTCCAGGTCGTGGTCAAACTGCAGCAGCTGGGAGTTGAACAGGCGCATGCTGTTGCTGGAGCGCAGCTGGGGGACAGACATCTGGAGCATGGGGGTGGGGGTGTGGGGAGCGGGGGGGAGATTGTGATGGAGAGAGTGAGAGCACGCAAGGGTGTAAGCGAGCGTGCGGGGACGGAGGAGTCCGTACTTGCAAATTTAGATATACGGCGAGCTCGCGAAAAGAAACAGAGGCGTCGTTTTCAACTAGGATGAGGTGACATCACGGTGACGTCATCGTGTCACCTGCATCAGCAGTATCCCCACAGAGTAGGTGTCGAAGAGGTCGGGGCGGCCGTAGGTCCAGGCCAGGGGGGACAGGAG